ACTCGTTTGCAGTCTTGGTTCTCTAATCTTCCCCCCTAGGGGGCGCTGGAGCTCAAGGTTGACAATCTTTCTGCCTTGCCTGGAGAGCCTCGGTGGCTGAATTGCTAACTTGGTTTGAAACCTAAGCTAAGTCACCCTCGGCTGGACAAGCCAGAAGCAAGCCAGCCTCAGACAAGCAAAGCAATTCTGCTTTGAAAGCGTTCTTCCTTTGCTGCTATGGGATGGTTAGCCGTTCGGATGAGGCCGGGAAGCAAACCAAGAATAAGCCACAAATATCCCAAGCGAGCTATTTAATCCCTGTGGGCAGCCACCTCTGCAATTAGGAAATCAATAATGTTGTAAATCAATGCTATGTACTGAACATATCATTTTAATGCCATTATACCGGTTATCAAAACTTCTCCGTCTTTTCTTCCCCCTCCTTCTCTTTTCTTTTTCTCTCTCCTCCTTCCTCTTCTCCTCCTTTCTACTTTTTCCACTCTTCCTTCTCCTTCCTCTCTCCTCCTCCTCCTAGTTCCCTTCTCCTTTTTCCTCTCTTCTATCTCCCTTCCCCTTCTTCTTCCTATCTCTCTTCTCCTTGTTTTTCATCCTCCTTCTCTCTACTTCCCCTCCTCCTTCTCCTTCCTCTCTCCTCCTCCTAGTTCCCTTCTCCCTTTTCCTCTCTTCTTTCCCCTTCTTGCTATCTCTCTTCTCCTTGTTTTTCATCCTCCTTCTTTCTACTTCCCCTCCTCCTCCTTCCTCTCTCCTCCTAATTCCCTTCTCTCTTTTCCTCTCTTCTTTCCCCTTCTTCCTATCTCCTTGTTTTTCATCCTCCTCCTCTCTACTTTCCCTCCTCCTTCGCCTTCCTCTCTCCTCTTCCTCCTAGTTCCCTTCTTTTTCCTCTTCTATCTCCCTTCCCCTTCTTCTTCCTATCTCTCTTCTCCTTGTCTTTCCTCCTCCTCCTTTCTACTCCCCCCCCTCCTCCTCCTCCCTGCTCAGCCTCTTTCTTTCTTGATCCCTCCCCACCACCCTCTTTCTATCATCGCCTTTCTCGCTGGAGAGCTGCCCTTTCGCCAGCCACCCATTCTTCCATTCTTCCCGCAAACTCTTGATCTGAGAAGCGCTCTAAACTTCAGGTGAGTCAAACATGAATATTCATCACCTCACATTTGATGGAAGGAGACCGTCCTTTTCTAGGTTAGGGTGGCGGGGTGAATAATTTCAAGGATGTTTCAAGAGTGGAGAAAATCTTTCTTCGGTGTTGGCAGTTTTATTCCTGGAATGTTGATCTGTCTGATATACAGCTTGATGTTTTTGAGGGAGTTGCCAAAAAAAGTATACTAATAAATAATAATAATAATAATAATAATAATAATAATAATAATAATAATAATAATAATAATAATAATAATAATAATGTTGGAAGGGACCTTGGAGGTCATCTAGTCCAACCCCCTGCTCAGGCAGGAAACCCTATACCATTTCAGACAAATGGCTGTCCAGTCTCTTCTTAAAAACTTCCAGGGTTGGAGCATTCACCACTTCTGGAGGCAGGTTGTTCCATTGGTTAATTGTTCTAACTGTCAGGAAGTTTCTCCTTAGTTCTAGGTTGCTTCTCTCTTTGATTAGTTTCCCTCCGTTGCTTCTTGTCCTGCCTTCAGGTGCTTTGGAGAAAAGCTTGACTCCCTCTTCTTTGGGGCAGCCCCTGAGATATTGGAACGCTGCTATCCTGTCCCCCCTCCACCTTCTCATCGTTAGACTAGACACACCCAATTCCAGCAACCATTCCTTATATGTTTTAGCCTCCAGTCCTCTAAAAGTGGTTCCTCCCCCTTGCCTCAGATCCTTCAATGGAGTTCTGTTCAAAATTAATCAAATCCTCTGCTTTCCCTTTAGTTTAAAAAAGTTTGTTTTTCTATTGGATATTAAATGATAAAGAGATTTTGCAGACTTAACTTAACTTAACTTATTTAACTTATATGCCGCCCTTCTCCCCATGGGACTCAGGGCGGCTCACAGCATGTTAAAACAATATAAAACATTTCCCCTATAAAAGCCAATTAAAAACCAAATATTTATAGCTGTGTCTTATTAAAATCATTAAAATTGTCCCTATTTAAAATTCACCCTAGGTCAGTCCCGCTTGCTGAAAAAGCCATGTCTTG